AGAAACAGTGGGGTTGCAGGGAAATAAAGACAGTAAAAGCTATTTTAGATATGGAACCACAGTGACTTGGTGATGTATTTTCTGTGGGACCAGGGAGAGAGCTGAGTGGAAATAACTCAGCCTCCAGCTGGAAGAGGTGAAGTGCTGTTGGTGGTCATTCACCAAACAAGGAAGCACAGGAGGAAGAGAAGCTCATTTTGACAGGACAGGTTTAATTTTACATCAGTTTGTTTTGAAGTGCCTTTAGACTTCTAAGTAGAGATGTGCCATAAGCAGTTAAATGTATGGATGAGAAGCTCAGAAAGATTGATGTGGGCTGGGTAGAAATAAGGGCACCATCAGAGTATAGGTTAGTACTAATGTAAGCCACTGGGGGGAAAGAGATTATTCAAGGAGAGAATGGACAGATTGTAGAATAGGAGAAGAGGGCTGAGGTTCTGCAGGCAAATATTTAGGTGGAAGTCAATGTAGAGTCACTTTCAAAGAAGACTGAAAGAAAAGCCCAAAGAGAAAGAGGAAAACCAGGAGAGTCAACAAATGAGTTCAGTAGGAAGTTATTCAGTAAACTGGATTAGTGACCACTACCATTTATTTGAGCCCTAGGATGTGCTGGGCAGTATGTGTGGCTAACTACTTTACGTGGGTCATTTTATGTAGTCATCAGAGGAACTCAAGAAGGTTTTATTATTAACTCTCTTTTATAGAGGAAACTGGGTCAGAGTAAAGTTAAGTAATTAGCCCAAAGTCATAAAAGCAATAGGTAATGGAAAAAAAAAAATTGACTACAGGAAGTCTGATTCAGGAGCCAGAACTCCTAACTATGTTTTATTAAAAAATTGAGATTTCCAAATAGACCTAAATGTTCAAAAACCAATACAGCCATGTGATTTATTGGAAAATGCTTATGTTTTATTTTATGCATTTTAATATGAAAAAAGTAATATACCTTTAATTTTAAAAATCATGCTACAAAACAGTTTTTCATATTGGCTCTCCATTCAGATATATGTGAGTGAAGTGACTGAGATTCCCTAGAATGGGAGTGGATCTTTGGACTTGCAAAATTAGTAACACTGATACTCTTAATGAATGTTATTTCTGGATGGTGTGATTATGGATTGTTCTTATTTTTACCACTTTATAATTTCTGAGTTTTCTAAAATTAATCTTCATTAATTTTATAATAAAAATATAATTTTTAAAGTTAATATTTTTTGAGAGAAAGAAAGCAGGAGCAGGGAATGGGGCAGAGAGAGAGAGAAAATCCCAAACAGACTCCATGCTCTCAGTGTGGAGCCCAATAAGAACTCGAACTCATGAACTATGAGAGCATGACCTGAGCTGAAATTAAGAGTCAGATGATTAACTGACTGAGCCACCCAGGCTCCCTTAAAGAATATAATTTTAAAATGCCCAGCTAGTTAAACTCCTGGGAGACTTAAATGAGGTGGTGTGCATGCAATGGATGAGCATGGGGTGGAAATACATACCTATTAGATGCTGGATACAGTGACATTGCTGATTTTATATCACATTGCCATACTGTATGCTTTAAAAATGGATAAAAGTGATTCCAAAAAAATATATGAAAGCACAATATAGAAAACTTATGTATTGTTATGTGTTAACAGTATTTTTAAAAAGAGCTCTACAGCTAGATAATTTATCAGAAAATTCAAATGTATTTGTTAAAAACAACATCATGTACTTTCTATTCTGAACCCATGTATCTTCCCAGTAAGGAGAACAAAAAGCAAATTAGAAAGCTTAAAAATGTTGAATAAAATATTGCATTTTCATTTATACTTAATAGATGAAATATTGATTTTATTTAATCCAGACTTGATTGCAATAACCTTTCAAAAGGTTGGTACCAAGTTATGGAAACAATATTTCTGTTGGAGAAGGTTAGAGTTATGGCCAATATTACTGTCATTATTTTTCAGTGGCAGAGACAGCCATTCTTCCTGAGCAACCCACTATGAAAACCAAGCATGCATGAAGAGAGTTTAGTGCCATAATCAAATAAAACTTACACTGAAGGTTATCTCACATGAATTTAATGATATGCATAATTGTTATTCTACTGCATGATAATTAGGCATGAATGTAAGCAGCTCTTATAAGTGATGGTAATTTGTATGACTTCAGCACAGCCAAAGCAAGCCCAAGTGGAATGTGTATAGCAAAATAATGGGCTATCTCAAGAGATGAGAGGTATAAGGGGAATCTGTGTTCCTCAGTAGTCTCAAAATGATCTCATTTTAGAGGAAGTAAGGTAGGCAAAGGAAGGCTGAGGGGAAAAGTGAAAGTGTAGAAGAAAAGAAAATCACTGTTACTAGTTGTTATGGGTTGAATTATGTTCCCTAAAAAGATATGTTGAAGGTGTAACTGCCAGTACCTGAGAATGTGACCTTATTTGGAAATAGATCATTACAAAGATAATTAAAATGAGGCCATACCAGAGTAAGGAGACTCCTAATCCAATATGACTGGCGCTCTTATGAGAAGATGGTCACATAAGGGCAGTGACATAGACAGAAAGCCACGTAAAGATGGAAATAGGAGGTAGAGTTATGCTATCATAGCCAGGGAATATGCCTAGGGCTCTGAAATGCTGGAATTGTCCGGGAAGGATCCTTCCCTAATGTCTTTGAAGGGATGATGGGCCTGCTATCACTGGTTTTGAAATTCTATCTTCCAGAACTGAGAGGATACATTTCTGGCACTCAGTTTGCAATACTTTATTACGGCAGCCCTAGGAAACAAATAACACTACTTTTGCAAGTTGTTTTTTTTTTTTTTTTTTTTTACTTTTGCAAGTTTTATCTCCAGCTCTGAATTTGGGCAAATCTGGGTGCTTTATGTACAACCAAGTATTTGTTAAGTGCTTTCTGCTTGCTTGGTATTTCTTTAGCTACTGAAGTTAAACATTGCCGAACTAGAGAAACAGTCCCCGCCCTGAAGGGACGTATTGTCTGTGACTTCCGTGTTCCTGTCTCTATGGTACTTCGTGTTGTACTGAAACAACTGTCAAATTGTCCTGGAACAATTGGTTGCCAAGTTTGTCTCCTCCACAAAATAATGAAATCCTAAGGGCAGGGGCATAATAAGTGCTAAAAATGAATACTTACTGAAATTAAAAAAAAAAAAGGAGAAAATGAATGAATGAAGGAATTCTCTTTGCTGGTGAAAGAAAGATTTTGTTGTTCAGTGGAGAAGCAGAGATAATGGAAGGCTGTGTGTGTGTGTGTGTGTGTGTGTGTGTGTGTGTGTGTGTTTGTGTGTGTGTTATTATTTTTAAGTATACAAACATGTTGGCCTATTTGTACATTAAGAATAAGGACGTATGAAACATTTCAATTGCATATAGTACTGTGTGGCTGTTTCTATCTTTCTGTAAGTTAGCAAAAGGGTTTCCCCCTTTGGTTATATTGCTGACTTTGTCGCCTTCAAATGTTATTGGATTTTATAAGTTGTTTATTTTCATGTAAAATTTACAACACCTTTTAACTTTTCATGACCCGTTTCATTTTATGAATGCATAAAAACAATATTTTTTAAAAGAGAAAGAACTCGTGTAATTGAACCTGGTAGTTTAAAAGTTCATGTGAATGTATACAAACTTTTAAAGATACTTCAGGTAGCAATTAAGACATGAAAAGACAAACTTCTGATAAACTATGATTTCTGTATATTTTTCACATGAATTTAACAAATCAAAATTAAAGATAAAATATAATAGTTTATTTACTATTTATCAAATCATGGTATGTTCAGTTTATCAATTCTTTAAGGAAGTCAAGCTCATTCTCCTTATCCTTCAGTTTTCCCTCCTTCTTGAGCTCTCCACCCTTCCTTCATACCCAGTACTTTGCAAAGTACCCAGTATATTGTATTTCTTATGTTTCCTTCTTTTGATAGCAATGGAAATGGTGCTATTTGATATGTGTGTCTGTCGTATTTCTTTTCAAACTGCAAGGGAATTCTGAAAATGATAAATTTGTTCTTCTTGTATTTCACAGAGCTAACACACACACACACACACGTCTTTCCTTTTGGGATTATGCTGGGTATGATGGAGATACTAACATGTATATTCCTCTTGGTAGATATAATTCTCTGACTTCAGCTAGTTTTTAGCCTATATTTGTTGCAGGAAAAATGTGGAATAATGCTGTGTATACCTGAAGCTGTGACAGAGTCTGGTACCAATTATGCCATTGTAACTTTTCTCTATCCAGGAGTCAAAAGAATGTTCTTTGGGAATGGTGCTGCCCCCTGGTGATGAGTAGGGTAATAGAATAGAAACTTCATGTTTAGCAACATGTAGTTTTCATTAATAAGCACAAACTCCAACACAAAATCTGCAAAAAAAAAAAAAAAAAAGCAATTCAAATTTAGTACAAACTGTACATGCTACAACTTAATTTTCTGAAATTACAATAATTATTATAATAGTCATTTGACATTACCTAGAAATGGAAGGACAGGAGGGGGCAAGAAAGATAAATCACAGAAGAGAGACAATAGACATGAGATTAAGATTAAGGATGTCACCTCCTCACCATCACGGATGTGAAGAGCCTTGTTAGTCCACTTTAGGAAGTTACTTCTTCCAAGGGAGGGTTACTGGTAATCTTCAAAAAGAAGATGATAGGAAAACAAAACTTTACCATGTTTTTCAAACTAACAGGACTTTATTTTAATGGATTTGATTTTATTTCTGAGAAGTCTTACACCCTGAAGGAGATTGTGAATATGTACATCCTCTGTATTTAATTCTGCTCGAGAATATGTGTCTTTTCTGTTTTTCTCAGATGTTTATAAAGACTTTTAAAATTGTGTCCTGTGGCAGTTAGAGAGTAATTTGTGGATACTTCATTTTTATCTCTCAGTTGCCTTCTTTGAGTTTTATACTATGTGTTTTAGGAACAATAATCCTCAGTCGATGACCTGTTATTGAGTGATATGTAGAGGCTCTCTAGATGATTTTGAACATGAAACTTAGAACTGGCAGTGACCTTAGAGCTAATCTTATCTAACTCTTAAATAACTCCGGGGTGTTTAAGCCTGAGTAATGCATTTTGGAGAAATACAATTATTTCACAATTATAATTGTTGTTTGAAAAGTGTGCAAACCATAACAGGCAGGGCTTTTCCATATCTACAAATATATATTTCCCCCAGAAATGTCTGTTTTTATCCTGCCCCTGTATCCGTTTATCCTATTTTAACTAATGTCTTCTTGAATAGAGATCCTTAGGTTATGAGAGAGAATTGAAGTGGGTAAGGGAAGTCTGGCAGTATTCTGCTGCTGCATTTCCAAATCTATTGAGAAAGCAAAACTGGGGAAATGCACAAACTTCACTGCACACACAGACTTGTTGTTTGTGCAATGTTAATTAAAAAACATTAAATAGAGTAAATGCTTGCAGTAGTTACGGACCTCTCTGCAAAAAGCCCCCTAGCTGTTCACAGATAAATAATGTAGGAGTCCTAGAGAAGTTTAAGTGTTGCAGGCGTTGCTATGGAATTTCACTGCTTGGAGCCAACATAATGCTTTATGCAAGTTAAAGTCCCTGGGTGACATTTGGCCCTCAAGTGTGCTGACTTTTCAAAGAAGAAGGAATGGTACATATTTTTAAATGAAGAATCATTACTTAGCTCAGAACTGTTGTTTCTACTTACTTAGTACCATATGCTTCTAGATTTCTTTTGTCAACGATTTTTGGCAGTCCTGTGTTCAGCTAATTATTAAATGTTGAAGTTGAAAACAGGGTGATACCAACACAAGGCAGAGAAATGAATAAAACCCAATAATGCAGTTCCCAGGCTGTGACTATAGACAATAAGAGACATGGTGTGTGTTAGTGTTATTAAGGAGCCTAGTCTAAAAAATAGGACTGACACCAGAATGAGTAATTAATTCTTTACCTCAGATAAATTTTAAGCCTGAAAGCTGGAGATACTGACCAAAGTTCAGCAATACTACTAAAATACCAGAATACTGTAATGCTAAATAAAACTGCAGCCTTCCATCAGACCTCCTTTATGAGAAAAGCATCTGTATCCTGGACTCCTAATGGAAACACACTAGGAAGCATATATATGCTGTGCCCCTTGAGCCCTTGGAGGGTCAGGGGGTATAGATTGGGAGCAAGTTTATCAGGCCTGAGTGAACGTAGGGTCAATCCAAGCAGAGTTTTCCAGAGCAGTGCTATGAAAAGGAGACAGATCCATACAAGGCGAACAGTTTTAAAGGATGAATGGCAGCGGAGTGGGTGGATGTGGGTGAGATGATCAGAAGCCTGAGAGTTCTGAAACAGGTTGGCAAAGTGAAGAAATAAGAAAATAATGGATTAGAAAATATCAGAGAAGAAGCTCTGGTGGCTTTTTCTTGTATACTGGCTGTGCAGCTCAGGGCTATTTGGGCAGTCAAGCTGGTACACTTGGCTGTTGAGTTTCAGGTGTGAGCTGTATTAGGTAGCAGGTCGGAGAGTAAGTGGACTGGGTAACTCCAAAGTTAATTGGTCCGTAGCAGTTTTTTTGTTTTATCACAGGAAGCCTGTATAGCAATGTGTAGAAAAGCCTTCAGAGTCTTTTGTAAACAACAGTCTCCCTGCACTTATCTTTAATCCTTATAAAGGTAAAATGATTCTAGTATAACATGTGAAAGACTTTTATAAGGAAAGAATGCTATTTTTATACTGACCAACCCTGGTATTTACAACAATTGGTACCCAAAATAGTATTCATTGAGAAATATGATGGTATAATTATGAGGTAAAAGGAGGCTCTAATAGCAGATGAATGAACAGTAGTTATGCAATCATGAGTCTGGCTATGTCTGGGAAATAAAAATACCATTCAAACTGTGGGAGTCAGAGGACTGTGGCTTGAGAAAACCTTCCTAAAAAACTTCCTTTAGTGTCTGGTATTCCAAATGAATTTTTTGTTTGCTATTATCACAATTTTTAAACTTAGTATGCATGGATGATGTAAATAAATTTATGCTTGTACTCATATATTTTTCAGAAGCATACCAAATGTTTTGGTATATGCTTACAAAAATCAAATGTCTATATATATAGAAGCCTGAGTAAACATTCAATTAGAAAACAACTTTTTTAAAAAATATTTTTATTTATTTCTAGGAGAGAGAGAGAGACAGCATGAGCAGGGGAGGGTCAGAGAGAGAGGGAGACACAGACTCTGAAATAGGCTCCAGGCTCTGAGCTGGCAGCCAGCACAGAGCCCGACACGGGGCTCGAACCCACGAATGGCGAGATCATGACCCAAGCGAAAGTCGGACGCTTAACTGACTAAGCCATCCAGGCGCCCCAGAAAACAACTTTTTTAACTCCACAAAAGTGATATATGAATTTGAGCTATTGACTATTAAGCAGTTCAAGATAAATACTAAAACTAGAAATAAGAAAAAAATACTCTGGATTTAAGATATCTTAAGTGTAATGTCTTGCTTTGTATTATTTTGCCTCTTAATTTTATTGCTTTTGGTTCTACCTGGGTCACAGTGAGCTGGCCTAGGTTTAAATCTGCAAGCCGTTAGAGTGTATGATATCCTATATCTGGATTCCCTAGCTAGAAATAATAGAACACAGAATTTAAGGTCTCTATCAGCTAGATTATTATGTAGGAGAAGTTGAAGCACATATACTAGAAACAAGAATAAAATAAGCATGCATTTGAAAATAGAAAAATCTTTGTATATAAATTTTAGGGAAATGTAAATTCAGTGAATGGTTTAAATGTTTTTGGAAAGAATAACACTCTCTAGGCAAATTTTGGGGATAAAAATGGGTATGAATTTTGTCAAGGACTTTGGAAGTTTCCATGATAAGGTGAAAGGAATGAATTAAAGAATTAAATGAACAGTTGTCAGTGAGTTGAATGATGGATGGCAGTAAACCATCTGTTGATTATTTTAGAAACTTATTTGGAGAAGGGAATTTAGGATTAAGATTATCCAAATCTAAAGAGATAATATAGCAGGATTTCAATTCATGAAACATCTTTAATGTCAAGTAGGTAACAAGGATTTGAGTCAGCTGGTAATGAAGAATTAGTAATATTAAACATAATCTCCAAAGAAGAAAACCACGTGTGTACAGATGGTAGTAAAATATATTAGAGAAGTCATGTTCAAAGTGAAACCATGATTTGGAAAAAAAAAAATAGCATGTATCTAACAAAATCCTCAAAGCAAGCATCTTAAATAAACCAGAGTTGTCAAATCCACTTTCCAGCACAGATCTATTTCTAGTTAACTTCCTTATGTCTAATTAACTTCTTTTCGACAAAGTGCAAACAGGAGGAAACAGGCTCCTAATGCAGTCAGTTGAAGATCTTAATTATTCACTTCCACTTTTTCCATAGACATAGAAAAAAATATAACCAGTCTATTTTTACTTAACCAATTTCTTCTATTCTTTCTCTGTGAGTTGCTCATAATATTAAGGTAATGGTAAAATATGAAGGTTAAAAAATAGTTTTGTGGAGATATTTATCAGCTTATTTCTACATAAAAAAATTCAAAATGTCTCTCAGAAATTCCTTTTTTCAGATACCCAAAATTTGTATTCCTGGTAATTAATTATTTGGACTCTTATAAACATATCTTAAATAATTTAGGGTCAAAAAAAGTTAATATGAATAAAACTGTTTTGAGAATTATACAATATTTTATAAATGCTATCAACTATAATAATAGCTCTAATAATTTAATATTCTAATCCACTTACATTAAACTGTAATACAATTGTTTGGCATAACTGCAGATGTGCATATATTTAAGTAAACATGGTCTTAGAAATCCAAATTTACAAAACAGTTCAATTAAAAAGTGATTATTTCTATTATAAAAAGATTATTTGTTTACAAAATGATCTTCGTGAGGTTCTTTTAAAGGCAAATTTCAGTACTACATTAAAAGTACGATTTAGGGGCACCTGGGTGGGTCAGTTGGTTAAGTGTCTGATTTCAACTCAAGTCATGATTGCTCAGTTGGTGAGTTCAAGCCCTGCTTCGGGCTCTGCAGTGACAATGTGGAACCTGCTTGGGATTCTCTCTCTCCCTCTCTCTTTACCCCTCTCCTGCTTGCTGTCTCCATTTATTTATTCAACAGATGTTGACTGAGAGTCTACTGTGTGCCAGTTCTTTTGGGGGTTGAGCAGACTAAGCTTGCCTCCTATGGAGTTTGCACTGTAATATAGAGACATAGAATAAACAAGTAAACAACCAAACTATGTAATGTAATCTCAGATAGCAATAAAACAAAAATAAAGGAGGCAAGGAAGACAGAGCATGAAGGTTAGGAACCAGCTACTTATTTTAGATAGGTGGTCAGAGAAGGCTATTCTGAAGGAGTGACATTTGATCAAAGACCTGAATAGAGTTTCTTACAGGCCATGTTGAAAATTTTGGATTTTAGAAGTGTGATTAGAAGCCAATAAAAGTTTTAAGGGCACCTGGGTGGTTCAGTCAGTTAAGCATCTGACTTTGGCTCACATCATGATCTCATGGTTCACAAGTTTGAGTCCTGCCTAAAGCTCAGAGCTTGGAGCCTGCTTTGGGTTCTGTGTCTCCCTCTATCTGACCCTTCCCCACTCACACTGTGTCTCTCAAAGATAAATAAATGTTAAAAAAAAAGAAGGAATGACTTAAAATGCATAATTTGATTATAATTCTTTGAAGATTATGTTTATCATGTAATACTGGTTATTTTTGGTATTCATATGATGCATACTCTTGTTAAACTGATTAAAAAAAAACTTTCCTTTTTACAAGCTACATTGAACTTCATTTAACCAGGATTTGAAAAAAGAAAATGAAAAGAAAAAAGATATTGCTAGGGTCTATTTTCCAATTACACAATCGACTAGTGCTAGTTAGCCAAATGTTCTTGAGCACACAAGCCAAGTTTCATGATATAGTTTTCCTACTGGAAGCAAAGCATGATGCTTGGGTATTTTTTCCATAAAGCTGGACAATTTCATGAAGTCTTCTGTTTAACACGAGACACTGCCATGTGGATAGGTCCCTGAATTAAGAGTCTTATTTCATTTTTGCTCCTGACCAGCTGTTGGACCTTTGTCGAACACTTTTTGTTTGTTTGTTTGTTTGTTTGTTTGTTTGTTTTGTTAATCTCTGTTTTCTCATCTATATGTATGAACTGGACTTGATGATCCTGAAAGAACTTTGTAGTTTTGACATTCTGAGAATCAAAACTAACATATAGGTTATATGTGAGCTAGGAATTCTAGACATAATCCCAATACTTCCATCACCACCTACATGCCCATTCATCCTTTCATCCAATCATTACATACTTAATAGGTGCCTACTATGGGTAAAACATTTGTAAGTGTGATAAATATAGCAGTGAGTAAAATAGAATTCCTCCCTTCATAAGGTTTATATTCTAATTAAGGACATAAAAGATTGGTGGTGATGAGTGTTATAAAGTGTAACATTTTTAAATAGTGTTGCTCAAAGTGCTGTAAGCAGACTAGTGCTGGTCTGTTTCTACTGCACAGATAAATTCATAAACTGATAATAAACATTTAGAAACTTTCATAAATTTATTCAAAGATAAACAAGATAGTCCTGTGTCACATCTTAGTAAGTAAAACATTATGGGAGATGATATCAGAAAAGTAGCAGAGGTTCAAATTGTATCAAGGCCTTAGGGAGCAAGATAAGGACTTTTATTCTAATTGACATGAGAAATCAGTGAAAACATTTAAACAGAGGAGATAACTGATCATATTTAAGAGTTAAAAGGTATAAAATCTTTTATATCTGATATACAATAGACTTTAAGGAAACAAGAAGAAAAGTGGGAATATCAGATGGGGGTCTTTTGCAATATTCAGATAGACTGTGGTGACTTGAAGTAGGGATAGTCAAATGGGTCTGAGATAATGTCAGGTGGAGCCCACAGGCATTCTGAAGGTGTGGTTGACAGGATGTGTGTGAGGCTTAGATTAGCAGTTTAAGAAAAGATAGTAGTTAGCTGCCTAGATTTTTACCTAAGTAACTGGGTAAAAGGGGTACCATTTATTGATATAAGGGGATTGGATATTGAAGGAATTTAGAGGTTGGGTATGGATAAGCCTTCTAGAAACATTGTTCTAGTTTAAAACAGAGAAAAAAGGAAAAAGATTTTATCTTAAAAGTGAAATTGTTGGAGACATTCTATCTATGTGTACTCACTTGATTAAGACCCATTTGTAATTAAACATTATTATTCTTGGAAACATGGCTCTCTTTTTAAATTTTTTCTTTATCCAATGTGGAATAGAAGATGAGAAAGGAGGAGTGGGTGGCACCTGGGGGTGGGGGGACTCAGCCGGCTAAGCGTCTGACACTTGGTTTCAGCTGATGGAGTGATCTCAGGGTTTGTGAGTTTGAGCCTCACATCAGGCTCTGTGCCCATGGTGCAGTGCCTACTTGGGAACCTCTCTCTTCTCTCTTTCTGTCCTTCTCCACCCCCTTTTCTTTCAAAATAAAGAAATAAACTTAAAAAAAAGAAAAAGACTGTGGGACTAGAGAATATGCTCTACAGATATTTAAAAAAAAAATGAGATGGGAGTAAGCCACAAGGGTAAGGGAGCAGCAAGCCAAATTTCTTTAATTATAAAGCTGACTTGTATTTGCTGAGATTGTACTGCTCTAAAATTCCTTTATGGTTATTAAAACCTAGTTGGGGCGCCTGAGTGGAACAGAGGGTTAAACGCCCAATTTTGGCTCAGATCATGATCTCGCAGTTCGTGGGTTCGAGCCCCACATAGGGCTCTATGCTGACAGCTAGCTCAGAGCCTGGAGCCTGTTTCAGATTCTATGTCTCCCTCTCTCTCTGACCCTCCCCTGCTCACTTTGTCTGTCTCAGAAATAAAAGAAACCTAGTATAATGCACAACTATTAATAGTTCAACTCTGTAGTTTTAAATTTTAAAATGTATCCTCAGCATATAAACATTGCAACTTTCTCATGGACATTTTTATTTGATTGAAATATGTTACTATTCAACACAAATAATTCAGAACAAGTGTTTGTATACATCAGACTAGTACTATGCTATTGAATGAAAGCTATTCATGAAATTAGAACTGATTTTGACTCCTGACTCTTCTACTAGTTAATTTTCTAGTTGCATTATTTAACTTTCTGAGTCTCAGGGTTTTTTAATTTATAAAACACGTGAGGACGGTGATACTGATGCTGCTGCTGCTGATGATGGTGATGATAAGTGCTTAATATGATGGCTTTGTGGATTAAATGATAATGCTTATATAATGCACTTTGAAAACTTTCTGGCATTGCCAATATACAGATGAAAAGGACTACTCACAATTATAATACAATTTCATATTAATATTTTCACAATAATATAATTGAAAAATGGAATTAGAACAGACGAATGATCACTAGTAATATTACACAATTTTGTATAATAATATCAAGTAGCATGAAATAAGGAGAAACTTAGAGAAACTAGAATAGATATTTTTATGTATATATTTATATGTATTGCTCTATCTCTCTCAGTACATACATATGGAGATATAGCTATATGCATACACTTAAACACACAATCATGTTTCCTACTTAATTCAGGTGGAAAATCAGTTTGTCGTTAAACTTTCCTTTATAAATGGTTAGATAAACATTCTGTTTTAGAGTAACATATTTTACTACTTTTCTTTTGGATGATTGAAAATAAAATTTTTCAGAAGTGTACACTAAAAATCAAAATAAATAATGTTTTTACATAAAATGTTAATGTTTTATAAAATTATAAGATTATCAGAAGTATTGATTTTGAATTTGTAAACACATTCCTATAAAAGAAGTGGTATAGCATAGAGTGAATATCTTGCTTTTCTCAGATTAAAAAAAAAAAACTTTCCTGAAAATAAAATTTACTTTTTATATATAAAAATGCTTATAACTTCTATAAATTTACAAATGACAGGTAAAAAATAGAAAAGAGAAATAAATGTTACCCAGAAATCTTCTGGTCAGAGAAAAATCATTTTGAATAGATTATTAGATTTTCTTCGCAACTAATATTTTTATACACACATGCATTTACATGTATGCTTATATTTTTTTAAAGTATCTTTGAATAATGTTTTAAGAGGCATTATTTATTTAATTTTTTCAAAGTCATAACAATATAAAATGATACAACTACATGAGACTTATTCTTTAAAAAAGTAATGCATTTGAAAAACAGATTATGTATTCATTATTTGATTTCTGTTGTCTTCTTATAAATTATAATTGGATGGTAAATACATCTGAAAGCTGAACATTTACAAAGAATGTTAACAGGGAATTGATTCTTTATCTTGGCAGAAAATGTCAGTAGAAACATGAATTTTGTAATGAAAAGATACTTATTAATATAATTTATCCTAAAATACATATTATTTTTGTGTCAGGAGATCAAAATGAATCATATTCAGATAAGGCTGCTTCAAATTAAAAAAATGATCAAATTTGTTTTGTACTGTAACAAGATTAAAAATAGTAGTCAATATATATTTCCATTCCACTTGTGTCTCTAAGTAAACAGTGATTTAGTCTAAATTTTTATTTACTTCCTAGGAAATATTTGTGTATATATGAACCTCACCAGCTATATAATATAAAGAATTTTATTGACACAGTATAGAGCTGTTGTGTTTATCTGCACAGGCTCCCAAAGATTCACATTAAACTAAAAATGACTATGCAAATATTAAGTGATTTTAAATAATTATTTAAATTATTTTAAATTATTTTTTCAGCTTTATTGAGATATAATTGACACATAATATTGTGTAAATTTAAGGTGTGCAGTATGTTGATTTGATACACTTAGAAATTACAAAATAATTGCCCCATACCTTTAGATGATACCTCCATCATATCACATAGTAATCATTTCTTTTTTATGGAGAGAACAATTAAGATCTGCTCTCTTAAAAACTTTGAGTATATTGTAATGTATGATTTACTATAATCATCATGCTATGTATTAGTTCCTCTGAATTTATTCATCTTACAACTGAACATCTGTAGTCTTTGATCAATATTTCCCCATTTCTCCCACCTTGTCCCTGATAATCCTAGTCTACTCTCTGTTGCAAAAAATAGTATGGAAGGTCTTCCAAAATTTAAAAATAGAACCATCATATAATCCAGCAATCCCACATTTGGATATAGATATATCCAAAGGAAATAAAACCAAAATCTCAAAGTCTGTATCTTTAAATCCAAAGATTAGTGAAACTTTCATGGGAACACATTCCAAATCAAGTGACTGTCCTTATAGTTTGGTGTCACAATATCATGACCCATGATATTGTGGAATTAGTTAGGAAGTTGCTAGTGATACTAGTAATGAAATGTATTGGTTAATATCTCAAAATTATGATATCAAATTTCTGGATAAAATGGAAGAAAAAAGTTATTAAGTCATATAGAATGGGGACTGGATGGAAAAATCAGCCTTAAGTATAACATATACTTAGAAAAATATGTCTAGCCTGTCAGTGTCAGAGCAGTTTCTCTTTTTCCTCTTTGATAAGTGAATGAGGCCCTAGGAGGATGTATATATGAACCTGACTGGTGGATAAAATATTTGTAAGATGTGGTATTTCTTCAGATGTAGATGCTACTGAATATTTTGGTAATGTTTCCTAACTGCTACAGAGAAAATCCTCCCAGAAAATTTCTTCTCACAAGTGATGTCCACTTTTTAAAACACAAAATAACATGTGTTATATGTGTATACATACTATACACATTTATATTGTGGATACACATATATACATATATAGTTTTTCTGCTTCATAGTGTATTGTACGTAAGATGAATTTTGACCTTGTGAATCTTATTGACTGACAGTGAACCAAAATCAGAAAAAAATTCTTTAAAACAGCTTATCTAAATGTATATACTAATATCATTTCTAAAACCTTTTACAGAGGATTTCTATGAGAGTGTGAAATGTTAAAATTTGAGACCCATATCTTATTTATTTCTTATTTCTTTCACACTTAGTGCAAAGCCCATATATTGTGGTTCCCCAATTACCATTTGTTGAATAAGTGCATGACAGGATAAATGAATGAATGGCAGATATTGTCCTAGTGATGACTGTCTCCTTATCAAACACCTAATTACAATTAGTATTTGAACTTGATTACATTGTAAAAATAACCACACACTGCTAATATGAATATTTCACAGAGACCAGGCTCCTGGAGATTATAGAATCTGGTTTCTAGAAATATAGATTTGGGGCTATTAGAAAATAGTTTAAAATAAATTATAACATGACATATTTTATTATGTAGTCAGTATCCATATCAGGTGGGTGTTTTCTTTGTTTGTTAGTTTGTTTTTCATCCAAGAGGGTTATGTGACTTCTAAAACTTTGAAACATTTTGTTAGAAGATTATCTTAAATTTGGCTTTACATGTAGATTATCTGAAGATACAGTAAAAAATGTTGTCTGCTGCACCCCTTCATCTCACAAATCTAACTTTAGCACACTTAAAAAAAATGATTGTTACTTTTTTAGACACAACATTACCTTGAATTAGCAAGTTTGGATGGAGGCCCCAGGACAGTGGAGTGGACCAGGGCTTTTCTTTACAGTTACGTAGGTTCATCACTGCACATAGGCACATGGACTAGGGTCAAAACGGAAGTGAAACACTGCCCACATTCTTATTGCAAGCTGTGTGTCCTAGTGTGGAGTGTATTACACCCAGAAGAGAGGTATCTTTCTGCATTTGCACAAAGGCATCAGTTGCCCTAGAGCAGAGCCCTGAGTTGCATAAGGCTTTAAAGGAAGAACCGCCTTAAAAAGGAGCATGTGCGAAGCAACAGTACCATGTTTCACTCTTGCTATTCCTCAATTTTGCCAACTACTGATATAGTTTGATTGAAAATCTTTAGAAAGCACTTATATTGCATGTTATCAACTAAGTAAACATTTGCCAATAGAGAGAATGAATAACAAATTTCCAGTCTGCAACCAATGCAATACAAAGGCCATAGGGTATTTCTTTTTTTTTTTTTTTAATGTTTTTATTTATTTCTAGGAGAAAGAGAGAGAGAGACAGTGTGAGCAGGGGAGGGTCAGAGAGAGAGGGAGTCACAGACCGAAACAGGCTCCAGGCTCTGAGTTGGCAGTCAGCACAGAGCCCGACGCGGGGCCCGAACCCACGAACCGAGAGATCATGACCTAAGCGAAAGTCGGACGCTTAACCGACTAAGCCACCCAGGCGCCCCGGCCATAGGGTATTTCTTAATGTGCATCTTTATTAATGCTTAAGAAACTAGGCTTAATATGTGAACATAGCTTCACAGTAGGAACAAATAGTCTAATTCCTTCTTTTAAATAGTTCTAACAAGAAAAAAATCCCACAAACTCCACTTTAATTACAATGAATGGCAAAGGTCTCACAGTGATAAGGCGTCACGAACAGGCTGGTTTTTATTACACACAAGGGATGGTTGTAGGCATGATAATCTAGGGAAGAAAGATGGTTGCTAATGTTTACATACTTAGCTCCCACTGGCATTTCACCAGCTTGGTGGTTTGCACTGTCCCTCTTAATCTGAGAGAGTGCATCCAGATTCACAGCAAGACCTCAAGGAGAGCCAGATGATGGGGCAGATGGCAGATGACTAATTTGGCAAGCCTTGATGAGTGGAAATTGTTTGCTTTAATTGCTTGTCAAGTCCAGTATGTACATTAAAGTTAAGGACCTAGCACTTCCACAGAAAATGAAATACTACAAAGTAAACAAGAAGGACTATGTGTAGGGGAGTGGTAGGGAGTGTGAATGATGATTAAAAAAAAAAGGCTGGTGAGATTTGTGGCAAGACAATGAGTGGTAAAGGGAATATTATTTTATCCAAGAATAGATCACATAAATGTAATTTCTAAATCTGTAAAGTCTTTCTATATTTTTTCAGCTTTGAATATAGGAATTTTATGAAATGTAATTTAAGAAACAATACACTATAAAATATTTAAAGACAGGAAAACAATGAAGAACAAGAACTAAGAACAAGCAGTTTACAAGTCAGCTTTTGATAATACATGTAATGCATTTAAATTCATTTGTAATTGTTTTAAATTTACTAGGCTAATTGTTGAAACATACAATGGAAAAAATGGACACATAAAAGAAAAACCTATTGGAAAGACTGAATTATCTACAAAATAATCTAATTTTATAGATATATCTACTTACAAAATATATAATTCATAAACAGGAGATAATTATGTATATTATTTAGATCTATCATTTTTTGGTCATCACCAATGAGATTATTTCTTTTTACAATATAATTTAGCAGTTTAAACATCTTGTGGGTAAACAAAAGAAGGAAATACAGATCAATTAAATTTTAGGTGGATCAACATGTAGCAGTTTATATAGTTTATGGACTTGCCTTTCATCAGTCTGTGCTATAGAATGCCTGCCTTTCCTAGCTACAACTCTATTAGTGAAGATCTACAATGCCAAATGCCCTTTTCATTTGGCTCAAACATCATTTAGAAAATGTTTTAGTTAATTTCAGCAGATCCCTTGTTTTGTTATTTTAGGAGTCAATAAAACGGTGGTAGAAAATGAATTCAGAGCACACACTATAGGGCCACTTATTTTTTTTAAAGGGTACCAATTTTACATTAAAAATTATTTTTAGTTTCTATAATGTAAATTACAAATAATGTTTCCTATTTTGGCATTAATTTGTTTTAATATCTTTAAAGTTAATTATAGAGAACACAAAGTTCCTCAACTATAAACCCATTTTCTTTATTTCTTGTTTTGGGCAAAATTCATAAAAGGACCAAGGAAAGCATAAAATACCTGGAAAACAATATAATAAGAATGTTTCATTCATTTCATACAGGAGCATATTTAACTCCATTAGATATACAAGCCAACTTGTGTGTTTTAATTTACAAACAGAAAGGTTAAAATTTTTGGTATATAGTTCTCTGAGTTTTAACTGTAGAGATCTATGTAATCACCATCATCGTCAGTATACAAAATAGTTCTGCTATCTCCGAAATTTCCCTTGTGATCCTTTTGCAAAACCCTTACTATCCCTTCTCTCCATCTCCTAGCAACCACTGAACTGTCCTCCATCCTAGTAGTTTTGCCTTTTTACAGAATGGTGTATCTATAGAATCATATGTAGCCATTTGAGCCTGGTTTCTTTGAGGCAGCATAATGCCTTTGAGAAGTTTCCGTGTTGATATATCAATCATCTGTTCATTTTTATTTCTGAATAGATGGATATTCATGGAATGTATATACCATAGTTTATCATTTCACCCATCGAAACATATTTGAGTTGGTTCCAAATTTTTGTGAATTTGAGTAGTGCTCCTATAAACATTCATGTACATATTTTTATGTGAACAATTCTTTATTTATCTCGGGACCTACGAATGGGATTCTTGGGTCATATGATAAGTGTATACTTAATTTATAATGTCGTAAGATGTTAACACAGTGACCTCCTCAAGATCATCCAATGAATGTAGCCCATTACATAGTGTAGAGTAGGTTTTAAGTAAATACTTTAGAAATAAATTAAATAACAAAATTTTTGAGCTAAGGAGAAACATAAAGATATCTTATTTGAGAAAAGAGAAAATTGGAACCAATGAGATCAGAATAATTGTTCAAATTTACATGACTAGATAGTGTTGGAGCAATGGAGTCCCAGCCTCTACTTTCTTTGCCCAGTATTCATTCCTTTAGATCAGATTGACAGAGTACATCACCATGCAAGTCTTATATTTTAATTTGATTTAATATATTTTGCAATGTGCACATGCTATATACTACCTATTTTAATAAATGGCAGTAGGTAACATTGAGCTCTGTCAATGAGTCAAACATTGTGCAAAGCAAGTTACACATTTAGACTCACTTAATCCTCACAATAGCCTATGAGATAGAGGTTGTTATTATGTCCATTTTACAGAAGAGGAAATAGAATGACAGAGAGTCTAACTTGCTCAAGATTACATGGTAGGCCAGTGATTGAGCTAGATTTTGTGCTGAACATCTGGTTCTAGGCCCCATGTTCTTAACCTCTAAACTGAGTTTATTGCTAAAAATACTTAGCACCAAATCCTACTTTGTAGATAAAGAAACAGAGACACCACGAATGGTGAAATTACTTGCTCAAGTTCATTCAGCTTTTAAAAATGGAAGAACCAGCATATTTGATCGTGGCTCAGTTATGGTTCTCACTGACTTCAAAGTCCATTTATTTATTCAACAAATATTGATGGAGAGTCTACTGTGTGCCATCTCTTTTGGGTATTAAGCAGTCTAAGTTTGCCTCCTATGGAGTTTGCACTGTAATTTAGAGACATAGAATAAACAGGTAAACAAGCAAAATGTGTAATCTCAGATAGCAGCAAAACAAAAATAAAGGATGCAAAGAAGACATAGCATGATGGTTAGGAACCAGCTGCTTATTTTAGACAAGGTGGTCAGAGAAGACTATTCTGAAGGAGTGACATTTGATCAAAGACCTGAATAGAGTTTCTTGCAGGCCATGTTGAAAAGTTTGTATTTTAGAAGTGTGATTAGAAGCCAATGAGAGGTTTAGGGACACCTGGGTGATTCAGTTGGTTAAGCATCAGACTTTGGCTCAGGTCATGATTTCTTGGCTCACAAGTCCAAGCCCCACATCTGGCTCTGTGCTGACAGCTCAGAGCCTGGAGCCTACTTTAATTCTATGTCTCCCTCTCTCTCTGTACCTCCCCTGCTGTCTGTCTGTCTGTCTCTTTCTCTCTCAAAAAGAAGCATTACAGGCACCTGAGTGGCTCAAGTCAGTTAAGCTTCTGACTTCAGCTTAGGTCATGATCTCATGGTTCATGGGTTTGAGCCCTATGTCAGGCTCTATGCTGACAGCTCAGAGCCTAGAGCCTGCCTCAGATTCTGTGTCTCCCTCTCTCTTTCTCTCTGTCCCTCCCTGGCTCATTCTTGTCTCTCTGTCTCTCTCTCTCAAAAATAGCATAAAGATTTAAATTAAATAAACAAACATTAAAAAAAGAGCCAATGAGGTTTTTCATTAGGGGAGTGATGTGAATGATTTATGTTTTTTTTACAAAGATCATTCTGGACCCTGTGTGGAGAATGAATTAATCAGGACACATAAGGAATCCAGGAAATACGATAGGAGCCTACTGTCAAATCCAGGGGAAAGATAGCAGTGACTTGTATTAAATGATTATAATAGTGGAAGTGGCACTTATGGCTTCATTTGAGAATATATTTTGAACATAGGCTGCCAAAACTTGCAATCTCTGTGTAACTGTAATAGCATTCAATAATAGTCACTGAAAATGTTTGCTACTTCTTATGCGCTTTTTTAAATTAATTTTCCCTCTCAACTGTTTATTTTTTTTTAATTTAAATTCAACTTAGTTAATATACAGTGTAGTCTTGACTTCAGGAGTAGAACACAGTGATTCATCTTTTACATATGACACCCAGTGCTCCCTACAAGTGCCCTCCTTAATGCCCATCATCCATTTAGCCCATCCCACCCCCACCTCCCCTCTAGCAACCCTTGCTTTGTTCTCTGTATTTAAGAGTCTCTTATGGTTTG